GGCAAGTTGCTGCCATTCGTGTATGCTGACACAAAATAATGCAAATAATCATTCCTCCTGCGCGTGTGGCACCGCAGGCACATGCCCAAGGGCGTGGATTCCTGCTTCGGGAATTTTCCGATGCAGTACAAGACGAAGGACGCCTGGGACGGAAACCCGACTCTGCGCCGCGACTCCCGAACCTCTTACACATCCCCGCAGCGGTCCCCCACCAAGATCCGCCGGCCAAAGGGTTCGGTGAGTGGAAGAAGGTTGCTTGCGAGCGACAGAGATGGGAGTAGAAGAGCGTCGAAGCTGTCTCTACAGCGGAGAAGGCGAAAAGACCTGCGACGCGGAGAATACAAGCGACGGTGTTGTCGTTGGGATTGTTAGTTATTGGAACGAGAAAAGAACGTGCAAGCCCCATGCATGGTGGTCGTGTGTTGTGACAACACCCGCCAGAACGACGTTAAGCGCCAGCGTGTGGGTGACCAGAGGCTTTGGATTTGGGCTTCAAATGTGAGGGAGGGAACACGGTCCAAAACACGACGACCTGTGGATCTACCCCGGGGACAACACTGCTACCCTTATTCCACCGCAACGAGAAGTATTGAAGGGGGGCACAGACATCATCCTGACGGAATAGATGCTCAATCGGGTGGCTAATTGGGTCAAAAAACACTTTTCCCTGTGAACCTCTCAATCGAACTCTCCTTCTCATCTTGCCGAAGCTTTCTCTGTGTTGCTCGATGTAAACTGTGCGACTTCTCGACCAGCCACATCTGTCTCTAAACCCAGCCACCCGATCGGTATCCTCCTCCGCTGCTAGGCACGGCCGGACTTTGACCCCGGCCGCCCGCCCCCAACCGCCCTGCAATTCTCTTCTTCTCCGTGCTGCATTAGGACGTGAGAGAGAAGTCGGGAGTCATCCCGGGGGTCGGTGCCCGCCCTACCACCGCCGGCTCGTACTGCCGATCAAGCACCTACTCCGGAAGCAGCGACGTCGGCCGCTCCGAGTTGGCAGCAAGCGGGGCTCCGCGGATGGAGCCGACGACGCGCGGGAGGGGATTGGGTAGGGGCACCGGTGGTGGCGGCGGGGCCAGGCCCAAGTCTGCGTCGGTGTCTCGGTCTCGGTCCTTCCTGGAAGTCAACGGCTCGTTCACGGTAAAAAATATTGTGTTCGGACTAGTTTATTGGAGTAGAACCTTCTCAAGGGCAAAACGCTGCTAGTCGTAGGGCGGTTGAGAATCGTTAACTATCTAGTCCGAGGGATGTTGAGGAATGTTTTGTAGTTCGGCCTCTTGGCTTAGGGTTGCCGTCTATTCGTCTACTCACGGCAAGTTGGCGGTCGCCATGGTAAGGGCTTTTGGGGAGTGGGGGCGTGCTTTCCAACGTGAGGGTACGTGTTGTGTGTCCGTTCAGATGACCCCGGCCTGTTGTGTGGGCACGGTAAAGTTATGGGATGGACACCTCTTTGAACAAGAAAACACCGATGACTAGGACAGAGGATATTGGTGAGATACATTGAGGTCCGGACATCCATATCAAAGACCAAGCGCAACAAAAAACGAATCGTATTTTGTCCGACAGAGCTGGTTTGGCATGACAAGGACAGGCGGGGGGGGGCTGTTTTCAACCCCACGTGTACCCTGTCGACCAAATCACCACCAAACCTGGGTGCTGGTAACAACTTTGTTACCCTCCTCATCGCCTCCATTTTGCGTTGTGGCCTTCCTGCACGCGCACATGTCGCTTGCCTCAAACGGCGTTCGGCGCACACCCAACGCGCGTCGTCACGGCCCCCATGGGAACAGAGGCAACGGCAGCAGCAGCGAGACCCGGGGGGAGAGACGCGAATAGCAGAACGTGGAGGAGAAGGGGGGGTGCCGTCACTGGCATCAACGGAAAAAGGCAGAACGGCGACGAGGGTCAGGCCTAAGACGGCGGGGGCAAGGCCGACTTCGCGAGGTCAGAAGGGAGGGGGGGTAGTACTTGAGAATCTCCCGAACCGCCAGGAGTTAGAGGTGCGTCCAGTTCACGAATCTTCCACGCGTTTGGTCCACGTTTTTGCTTGTATCATGCGTGCTCCCGGTTGTGGTGTGTCAATCATTTAATCCGGAGTACAACGTGTAGGTTGGCGCCCAGAATGTGTAGATTGGACGAAACCAAGCTACGCACATCACGCGAGTTTTCGGAGCTCCTTCGTCGACCCATCCAACATGAGCGTAAAAGCTATTGTTTGGTGTGGACCTTAGTAGTGAATCGACGATAAGGAAGAAGAATGTGGTTGTCGGAGTCGATCCCGACGGCATTGGGCACCTTCTTCTTCGCTGGCATTGCTGCATGATATGAAAGAGCACAGCGCGGTCAACAACACGTCGGTCAAAAAACGATTTCGACGAAACAAATGAGGGATAGGAAATGCTGCAAGCAAACGCGTGACTGGTATATCTTTTGCTTTGGTGGGCGCATGTAGAACGGATGGCAGAAGGAGGAAAACGAGAAGAAGAAACAGGACAAGGAAAAGAAGAAAAAAAGGAAACGGAAAGGGAACAGTGTAAGGAACGGAAACGGAAACTGAAACGGACAAGGAAAGAAGCGCAATATCATCACTAGCAGAGTGCAAGCGACAACACAAATATTTAACAAAAAACGCATCTCGCGTGCAACAGGCGACGCGAACGTACCTGCTGACTCAAGGCAAGTTCCGCATCACCCCGTCGAAGCTCATGGCCAGTCTAGAGGTGGCGAGGGCCACCAACAGCAGGCCTCTCAGTGCACCGGCTAGCGTCCGGCGACGCCGTGCCCCCGCCCCGCCCAAAGCCGGTGAGACCGTAGTCAGTGAAGATGTACAACCACGTTTTTATTCTATTCAAAGGCTTTTACTGAAAGAGTGTGTGTGTTTTTTTTTTTCTAGTATCGCCCGCGCTAACCGGCTGACCAATGAAAAAGACGTCGATCTCAGTGCGGTTGAAAATAGAACATGCTTCTAAAGGCCATGATCTGGGACCCCGTGAGGGGGCGTCGTGGTTGGTTGCGTGTGTGTATGTGTGCGTTCACGTGGGTGTTTCGCCGCTTCTCCGCCCCCGAACCCCCAAACTAACTACTCTGTAGGAACAAGCCGATCCAGAGGAAGGCGACCTGTAGCGCTGTGAATCCTTGTTTTTGTATCCGTCCAGTGGACTGGACAGAGCACGACCGTTTCGCCGCGATACTGTTCATCCCCAATCATGGGGCGTCAGTTGGTGCGTTGGCACGTTTCTCTCTCTCTGTTGTTTGTCGTTGGCGTTGGTACTGCTTTTGATGTTGTGGTCGTGGTTGCCGCTGCGTTTCCTGTCGAGACATATATGAATGTTGCTGTTGCTGTTGGTGATGATTGTGACGTGCCCGTTGTTGCTGTTGCTGCTGTTATTATTGAAGATGACGATGGTGATGAGATGTGTTTGTTGTTGCTTGCTGCTGCTGGTGCTGGTCTGTTCTAACGGCCGTTATTCCGTCGCTGGCCGTCCTATCACGAACAGTATTTGCCGGCCCATCACCGAAAACTCAGCAGGAAAAACGAGGCCCAAAATCGCCATTGATAACCGTCGGCATATATATATTTTTTTCCCAACCACTAAACAGGCGCGTGGCGTCGGCGGGCAATAGCCGCAACGCTCTTCCGCAAGTACTACGTGAGGGGGGACCTCCCGATCAGCGTGGACCACTGCGGACACCGGAACGCCATCCGTTGGAAGATCCGACCCGCCGACCTCGACTTCCACGTCTACCTGCCCATATTCTTCGACGGTTTGAGAGAGGCAAGCTTATTTACGCGGGGATTATTTTTCTTAAATAGTTCGTGGGTTTCTTTGACAGTTTAGAAACTGATGGTCGTCCAAGACACGTCTCGGAGTACACAATAAAGTTCTGCTTCGTGCATGCTACTACCATCCCCTGGACCGTTTGAACAGACGCCGACTTTTCGAAATGAATCTCCACGTGGTGTTCATTTACCTATTATTTTGGATCACCACAGACTGAGAACTCCAATCAAACACCATGACCGAGAACAGAAGAGAAGGAGGAACGAAACCTCCGAGGAAACTCCATGCTTCTGGACGTGTCCTTCTTCCGACACGTCTCGTCACGTCGTACTGTTTGTCGTGTATGTACGTGTGCTCGAGGCAGGTGGAAGACCCGTACCGTTTCCTCGCGGTCCAGGGGACTTTGGACATGATAGAGGGTGCTCCGGACAAGGTCCTCCCCGTCATCCCGCAGGTTCGTGGTTGTTGAAGTTTCGGATGCTTGCCGTAACTGTTGTGGTAGATGCTAATGTTGTTGTTGTTGTTGTTGTTGTTGTTGTTGTTGTTGTTGTTGTCGTAACTGTTGTGGTAGATGCTAATGTTGTTGATGTTGTTGTTGTTGTTGCTGCTGCTGCTGCTGCTGCTGCTGCTGCTTTTTTTGTGGTTTGTTTTTGTTTTTTGTTATGCAGTTAGTTGCTGATTAGCGTTGATATCCAAGCCGAGCACTGTCTCACCCAGAAGGCCCTCCCGGCCTCTCGCCCTCCCACACAACACGACCACAAGATTGCATGACGTAACAACAGTCCTGTGCACNCCCCCCCCCTGCTGGCCTTCCGTGCTTGCCGCTTCTTCGCGGTACACCCGCGTCTGTGGGGATCTGACTTCCTGCCAAACACACCAATGTCCATATGGACACACGTGCTGAATTTGCCGGATACGATGGAAACGGTGCTGATGGCGCTTGGCGTTCATGACGTTGGCATGCATGACGCTCGGCGTTTGCTGGTGTTTGCTGACATGCGCGGGAATCCGGCGCCTGGCATTCATAACCACGCGTGGCATGCGTGGTACTACTCCCTACACCAACTTTCAAAAACTCCACACAAACGATAAAAAAAAATGGGCATTAAAAACGTGCTGATTCTTCTTGAAAAATGCACGGAAATAACACATGCACGCATGATATCTGCATGCAACTACGCGAAAAAAAATGCCCACGTTCCAATGCATCATTAGCTCATTCTGCCCATGAAGACCGCCCTCAACACGAGGGAGCCCCGCATCATCTGCCCGACTCTCAAGATCCTCCAGCAGATGATTCTGTTGAGCCCCATGATCGGCCAGGCGCTGGTGCCGTACTACCGACAGGTACGTGCCTCCCGATCCGTTTTCGCGCGTGCGTTTTTTGTTGTTTGCTCCTTACCATGGTTCTCAGGTACAAGCAGTTATTTTCCGCTGCCTTGGGATTGGTAGCATGCTTGCCTTGCCGTTTATGCCGCGTATTATCCCTGATTGATGAATTTGACTGTTGGATATTTTTGTGGACGTGTCTGGGAAAAGATAGGTGCATCTCGTAACCCCCTGGTCGGCTTGTTTGCCTAGTCTCCACCATGTCGGCGTTGCCTCGTACACACTCCACCGCGACCTTCTCTCGTGTTTCTCAGCTTGCAACCGGCGTGAGCGCGTGTGTAACTGTACAGGGTAGAGGGGGGGGTTGTGCTCAATGTCGTCCATGCCGTAGTCGTTAGACCATTGACCTCGCATCCCTCCAAAGCCGGGGCGGAGCACGCCGGGTTCTCACCGGACCAGGCTCTCACATCACCAAGCGCGAAGCGCCGTGAGGTACTCGGCGAGTCGCATGAAGGGTGCGCTGCATCCTGCTAAGGGTGTTCGGCATCTTGTGCTTACGTACTTCCTTGCGTGCGGATGAGAGTGGGGGGGTGAGGTACTGGGTGAGGCGGGCTGGACAGCTGCTGTAGTATGGGGTTCACTAGGAAAGACAAAAGACCATGGAAAGCGATGAAGACCTGGCGAGAGGCGTGGTGTG